AAATATGTACGCTTGGGACATCTTGGGATATATATATCATGTTGATATATGTTTATATATATATATATGTTTCATGTTGATTATCAGATAATGGAACACAACCAACTAACGAACGGCATGGTTCATAGACTGATAAACTATCTGAATGACTCAGGCACAGACTCGCTAAGAGATACATACAACTGGTAGACTGACTCAAATAATGACAATTAGAAGCAATACGTTTGACAGTCATCTTCAGGATAGAACAGACACTGTTATTCATTCTACTGCACATCGAGTCAGTTTAACGCCTCCCAATATGGTGGCTAATGATCGTACGTCACTATATTAAAAATCCTATACCCTTTATTACTGTATAACTGCGGAAAATATTACAACACATATAGGAGAACACCGTCAATCAGAAAACAAAGACCCCCTGTTAAGCTGCAGAAGATCGCTGATTGCGGATCATCGTCAGCGACACCTCACCACCAGGAAAGTCAAATACTTCCCAGTCATATGTTTTCTCTTTATCATATTGTTCTTCTTCCTGTAAATACACGATGAACCAGTAAGATGCGTTTTATCACACTGAATGTAAACAGTCAGCGAATATTAGTCTACCTCATAAGTTCATGTCTAATAAACACATTTCGTATGAATTTTAGGTGGTGTCCTGCCTTCCTGGGCCAAGGCCAGAGAATCGTGCTACCGGTTGTATATGATGAATGAAGATGGATGGGCGACTGTCGAGTTTGTGACGTAAGAATATTTCGCAACTGTCTCTACAACCTAATAACCCGGAGTGGATTCATTTGAGGAAAAAATGGCCACTGTGGTATTGTTATGTTACCTGTAAAATCACCTGGCAGCTGGCTTCGAGGTGAACGGATCACCGTTACAACTGAATGGAATCTTTGACATAAAGCGATATACATGATATCTTCGCATCGCGTGTCTTTCAGACAGGAAAGGGAAAGAGGAAAATTTACCAACATAATGGTCAATGCCGTGTGTGAATATCAACTGAATACAGTCGTTGAGCTAGTGTCGAACGAATTAGCAGGATATCCTAATACGACATCCGTAAATCGTTAAGATTGCTGTGTATTGTTCAATTATTCAATTTGTTCACTGTTTCAAAAACGTGTCAGCAAGGATTTCCGATGAAACGAAGAAAAATGTTGCCCTTACAGAGGAGACCATAGTATACTGTTTGCAACTGCACGACACCCATACGTTATGCAGTGTTCGAGGGTCACTGAGGCATAATGTTTTGTTTAAACCGAAAATCGGATTTCTACGATATAAACCGATCTATAGAACGGTCGGTAATGTCGTCGAAGGATGGATGATCCTTGTTCGAGTGTCAGTTGCTTACCTGCTGATCGATCGATTGGTATACGAAAAAAGTATGTGGTCCACCATCACTAAAGGTGACCATACCTTTCTATTTTTCAATGTGCCTAATTTGCACTGGTATCCCGTCGCTTTGTGCGATGATACGCTGCACGACCCGGGAATCATTAGGTCGTTATTGAAATGAGTTGTTCGTCCGTTTTAAACGGCAATGACCGAACCGTGTAGGTCATTAAAAAAACAATGGCATGATTAAAAACACGATTGTTGCAAGCGAGCAAGCGACCGTGGCGGCAATGCAGGTCAAGCGGGTGAATGAACAGCAGTGTGTTCGACATGAATATACCTCAACGATGATGACGGCGACTACTCAGACCGGCAACTGTCAAGGAATGCAACCCGTCGACTACCAAGGCCTGGACCTTGCGACAGACCGACTTCCAGATGCGGGATGAAAGCATCCGCGGTACGGTCAGTTCTTTAACCATTTAATCCGTGCAAGGACAAGGACTACCACATACGTTTCTCTTATCCGGACACTTGATTAGGATAAGGTGGACGGTACAAAATGAAGCATCGCCCGAGTGCTTCCCTGTGTCAGCGTTGTACAGAGATACATGCAGGACGGCGAGGATGGTAGACATGCAGACAGGTCAGGTTCGAGCCGTGTTCCATTTCTAGTGATTGATCGCGGACGGCAGGCCGAGCTAAGAAGTCACTCGTCTTCTTCCGTACAAACCATCAGTGTCGGCGGCACTAGCAACTGCAACAGTACTGACCTGCTCGTTATCTGGCGCACCCATTGACACGGATGAATCAATCGACGACGGCTGTGAGGGCCGTCGAAGAGGTCTCGCTTACGCGTGACCTTGAAACCCATCACAGCCGCCGAACGAAACTCCGTTTCACAGCGTTCAGTGTACTCGACAAACACCCGTCGATCATCGTCGTCTTCACCATGATCCCGACGCTGTTGACGCTCGCATCGCTGTTCTCCAGTAAACTCGAGATCTATTCCAACGAGATGTTCCCGACTACGAAGGATATGCACGGCAAGCTAGAAGATATCTCCAAAGAGTACTTCGACTTCATCATCGGTAAGCTATGATGATCGCTGAACGCTGTTGTAGGTTTCTCTTGCTTTTACCGTTGTGGTTGAGCTTCAAGCCATCTGCCCATCACTTATTTTTATGTGATTTGTTGTGTTTTAGTTGGTACCGGATTTACGGGCAGTTTCTTGGCTCAGCGACTATCGGCTGAAGGCTGTAATCGCATCCTGGTCATTGAAGCGGGTGACGTGCCGTCGTTCGACTCCTCGATTCCATTCGTCGAAATCGGCGGCCTCAAGAAAACCGTCTGGGATTACTTATCAGTACCGCAAAAATCTTCAGGTTTCGCCATGAAAAACAAGGTAATATGCGTAATTCATGTTGTCGTGTGATACAGCTGTTAAACATATGCTTTATTGTTGTTTATTATAGTTCCTTATAATCTGTAATCACTTCGAGCCTTTTGTACTAAATGGCCATGTTTTAAAATCAGTAGAATT